TGTGCCCGGCACACAAGCCCCAGCCACGGCTGCCCAGGTCGGGTTAGGGGGGGCAGCCGAAAGCAGTGTCCACCGGCTCTCCCAGCTCTGGGGCACTTTCTTCCGTCTCTCCAGGCGCGGCGCCTCCCGCTCCCCGGCCCTCACAGCAGCCGGTCGGTGCGTTTGCTGTGCCACACCACCAGGCCAGTCATGGCGAGGGTCAGCAGGATGGGTACGACAATGAGCGGGATGAGAATTTCATCCGGGGGATCCTCCCAGTGCGGCCTGTCCACCGTGCAGTTGTGGAAGAACCACCTGTGGACGTCGGTGACGAAGCCCTGGGCCAGGTGGTTGGGCCAGTAGCAGCCCACCACCCTGGCTTTCGACTCGGTGCAGTTGGTGAAGCTCTCGTAGTACCTGCGAAGGCAGAGGGCTTGACCGTCAGGCTCCCCCACTCCTTCTCTCTCTGGCCCTGACCGTGGGGAAGCGGGGAGGGCAGTCCTGTTTGGTCCCTTGGTCCCAGCATGGCCCCAGGCCACATGGGAAGAGTACACCCTAATGGTATGACTCTTATTGGGCCTGCTGGAGGGGACACGGTCCCTCCCCCTGTCATCCTTGCCCAGAGGATCTCTGACATGGGGACCCCATCCCCGGCACCCTGGCACCTTCTGCCGCTAGGCTCAGCTCTGCTTTCGTCTGCACCTGATCCATCCCTGCAAAGGGCACAAACCTCTTCTACTCCACCTTGCAGGCTACCTCCTCACAAATACTCCATTCCCCATCTGCTCCCCCACCTCCAAGCAGGTGATGTCCTCTGCACAGACCTGGTACCATCAAGTGCAACTCCCAGCCTTCCCATCTTAAAAAAGAGGCAGCAGAATCCAGCAAGGAAACTCTGAGTCCACGAGCTCCCCTTCTATACCTCATGCCCGTGTCTGTAGCTCATACATCATCCCTGCCCTCACCTCGGCCATCCATGCCCCTGACCTGCTCCCTGTAAGGATGTGAACTCCCAGCAGCCAGGTCTGGGCCCGGCCCCTGGGGTCCTGGCACTTCCCAGAGGACACTCTGGGCCTGGCTTCTTTCTCCAAGGCCAAGGGATGTGTGTGGTCACAGCCACTTGGATCTGCAAGGCTCTCACTATCTAGGGTCACTCTATGGGCTACAAAGGAAGAGGTCTTTCTGAGGCCAAGGGCCAGCTGCCTCCCAGTCAAGTCAACATGCCCTCATTCACCTGGTTGGGAAGCAGGGGGCCCACCTGTGAGCCCAGCCCTGGCCTATCTTGCTTTCAGAAGTCGCCTCTCCCAGCCCCCAGCTGACAGGACGCATGGCATCCCCCGCGCTCGGAGATCTTCTCGTCTGTGTTGATCAAACCTGGAAAGGGCACTCAGTGAACAACCCAGGAAGTGCCACGTCCATCTGGCAGGTGGGCTCTGGACAGCCCTTGAGGCCAGCCAAGGGCCCAGAATTCAGCTCAACAGTCAGCCTCTGGAGGTGGTGGCCTGGGCTGGCAGCCACCATCCAAGATGCTGTAGTGAGAGGGCTGGACAGACACCTGCCAAGGTGCACCAGCTCCATCCACTGCCCACACTTTCTTGCACCTGACAGAGTTGTGCATGCAGAACAGGTGCAGGAGGGAAAAGGGCTCCATCCTCAGCTCCCCACAGAACCGGGGGCTGGGGTGAGGCTGGTGTGAGGCCCTGTGGCTCACCTCCTCCCTCCGGTGCTGTCCTGGGGGGAGTTGCCTGGCCTGAGCCGGAAACAGGAGGGAACTGCTTCCTGCAAGTGCAGGGAAGGCCTGTGTCACCTGAGGAGTGTGGGGCAGACATGTTCCTGACCAGCAACCCAGTATCTGGGCTGGGAAGCGGCCTGGGGCTACCAGGAGGGATGGGTGCCAGGAGGGCCAGGCCTAGCAGATCAACCATGTCATTTCTCACCCTTTTTCCAGGCAGGCAAGGAAGAGCGCAACGAAGCAAGAGAGAGTGGGAATCCATGTCCAGAGCCATGATGTGGCCCCTGGGACGTGTCCAGGCTCTGGGACACCTCACCAGCCATGTCCTCAGGCAAAGCCCCCAAGATCCACCCCTCCCACTCTGCCACCCCAGAGCCCCTAACCTGACACCCCACCCTGCAAAGCCTGCAAGAGTCTGCAAGAGCCCTGTGTTCCAACACTTTCTCCCCCCGAGGCCTCTCAGTGTGCCCAGGGGGGCACTACGACCCAGCCCAGGGCTCAGTGGGGCCGAGGTCAGGCAGATGGAGCTTGCCATGTTCTGTGACTCCGGTCTTCTGTGAATTCTTTCACTGAGGACAGAAGGTCATTGACTCCTTACCCACAACAAGTGAGGGGAGTCGGGGGATGTGAGGCTTGGAAGGGACCTCGGAGCACGGGGAGCACAGATGCCATGAGCAGGCTTGGGACAGACTGTCAGCAGGATACAGACGGGCTGTGGGCAAAGAGTAGGCAGGTCATGGGTGGGCGTGGGCCGGCTGTGGGCAGGGCATGCGCAACAACACTCACATGATGAACTCAGACAGGTTGCACCGCTTCCAGACCTCCACCTTGTGCATCATGTTGGCGAAGGCCTCCCCGCACCAGGGCAGCAACTCCAGCATGCGGGTCTCATTGCAGCCGCCCACTGGGGAACACTCACCTAGAGAGCAGACAGCTGTGAGCACCTCTGGGAAGGCTCAGTTTGCAGGCATGACCCTTGAAGGACTTTGGCTGACGTCCTTCAAGGCCAGCTAGGGTCTTCCTCCCTCACCCTGGCCTCCATGGGACCCAAGGAGGTTGAAGCCAGTGCAGAAAGGGGGACCCACATGGAGGTACCACCAAGACAGGACCCCCAATAGGGCAGATGAAGAAGACAAGGAGAGGGTGGCACTCAGAGAGACACGAGTCCTGGGGGCGGAGAGGCTGAGGGCAGATGGGTTCCAGCATGGGTGGGGGTGAGGAGCAGCAGCCACCACTGCAAGTCGATGGCAAGGACACCTGGAGCATGTCTCAAGATGGATTCTGAGAGTCTGATGACAGTCCCAGGCCTTGGGGCAGCCCCTTGGTGGTGAGAACCACCCACGTTGTCAAAGTCATTCCTTCAGGCTCTGGGAGGCTGGGGGCTGAGGGATGCAGGGACCTGTGGTCCAACAACAGAGACCTGTCCTTTGGACATTTTGGGGTCTGATGGGGCTCCTGCACCAGGATTTTTTCTTCATCCCTTCCGACCTCTACCCCCAAAACTTTTCATCCCCTCCACCCCCAGGGAACACCCTCCTTCCACCGGGAATACCCACCTGTCTGACCTTCAGAACCTGTCCATTCATCCACCCCAGGCACCCAATTTCCATGGGTTGGGTCCCCCCCTTGGCCCCTCATGACCCCTAGCTTTGGTTCCCACCCTATAGTCAAGAAAATACTCTGCTGTGAGTGTCCTGGTGTGTGACTGCATACATATGTGTGTATTTCTAGGTGAACACTGCCCTGCCATGTGTGTCTTACTATGTGTGTGTGCATTGTGTACATGCCACTGTGTGTTGTGTGTGTATGTATATCTGCCCTGCCATGCGTATCCTGGTATGTGTGTGTGTGTGTTATGTATATATATGTGTGTGTGTGTGTATATATATATATATATACACACACACACACATACTGCCCTGCCGTGTGTATCCTATGTGTGTATGTGTGTATATGTATGTCTATGTGGGGATGTGTGTGTGTTGTATGTGTATTTGTATGTGTGTGTCTATGTGTGCACTGCCCTATTGTGTGTAGCCGGGTGTATGTGTGTTTATGTGGGACTCACTCATCACAATTTTACAACTTACAATAGAGCTACAATAATGAAGGCAGTGTAGTACTGGTATAAGGACAGACATATAGATCAATAGAATAAACAGTATTTTTAAGGGGGTGGCTCAGTGGTAGAGTGAGTGCTTAGCATGCACAAGGTCCTGAGTTCAATCCCCAGTATTGCCATTAAAAATAATAAAATAAATAAATAAATGAAGAAATATAATTGCCTCCCCCACCGAAAAAGGAAAAAAAGTAATGAAAAAAAGTCTTTTCAACAAATGGTGCTGGGAACAACTATATATACACATGCAAAAGAATAAAGTTAGACCCTTTCCTCACACCATACACAACAATTAACTCAAAGCATATAATAGATCTAAATGTAAGAGCTAAACTATAAAATTCTAAGAATAAAATATCGGAGAAAGTCTGTGTCCCTGTATAAGACAAAGCCTTCTTCAATATGACACCAAAAGCACAAGCAACAAAAGAAAAATAGATCAACTGGACTATATCAAATTTTTAAACTTTTTAAAATTGAAGTACAGTTACAATGTGTCCATTTCTGGGGTACAGCACGTTTAAACTTTTGTGCTTCAAAAGATGCCATCAAGAGAGTGAAAAGGCAACGTACAGAATGAAAGAAAATGTAAGAAAATCATTTTTCTAATAAGGGATTTGTATCTAGAATATATAAAGAACTCTTATGACTCTATAAAAAAAGAGCAATGACCCATTTAAAAATAGGCAAAGGATCTGAATAGATATTTCTCCAAAAATGTACACAAATGGCCAGTAAGTGCATGAGAAGACAATCAACATCATTTGTCATCAGGGAAATGCAGGTCAAAACTACAGTCAGGTATCACTTCACACCCAGCAAGATGGCTGTAAACAAAGCGATAATAACAATTGTTGGTGAAGATGGGGAGAAATTTGAACCCTTCTGCCCATTTTTGGATTGCGTTGTTTGTTTTTTTATTGTTAAGTTGTATGATCTGTTCATATATTTTGGAAATTAAGCCCTTGTCAGTTGCATCTTTTGCAAATATTTCTCCCATTCCATAAGTTGTCTTTTTGTTTGCTTATGGTTTCCTTTGCTGTGCAAAAGCTTATAGGTTTAATTAGGTCCCATTTGTTTATTTTTGCTTTTATTTCTATTGCCTTGTGAACTGACTATACTTCAATAAATCGATAAAAATTTGAAAATTTAAAAATTTTAAAAATTTTAAAATTTAAAAAAAAGAATTTTTACAGCTGCATTACCCATAATAGCCAAAGGTAGAAACAACCCAAATGTCCACCAAGTGATGGATGGATAAACAAGCATGGTATATCCTTACAACAGAGTATTATTTTTCCATAAAAGAATGATGTACTGACACGTTTCAACATGGATAAACCTTGAAATATCATGTTAAGTGAAAGATGTCAGTCACAAAATGTCACTGATTGTTTAATGTCACACATTTAATAAAATCTGCAGAATAGCCAAATTTAGAGAGGCAGAGTACAGATTAGGAGTTGCTTAAGGCTAAGGAGGATAGTGGAAGAGCACATGACTGCTAATGAGTACAGGATTTATTTCAGGGTGATGAAAATGTTCTCAAACTAACTGTGGTGATGGCTGCAAAACTCTGAATATACTAAAAAATGCTGAACTGTATACTTTAAATGGGTGAATGTGCAGTATGTTAGTTATATGTCAAAAAGCTTTATTAAAAAACGGTTTCAAACATTCAAAAGCTGAAAGAAGGTATCACCAGCAGACTCAAACTTCAAGTAATATTTAAGAATATCCTTCAGGGACAAGGGAAATAACATCAGAAGTCAATACTGACCTTAACAAGCGAACGGAGAGCACCAGAAATTGTAACTATATGAGTAAATATATAAGATTTGTTTCTCAATATTTAAATCTCTTTAAAAGATAACTGGCTGTGAAAACAAAGCAATCATGTATCATGGATGTACAACGTAGGTTTAAATAAAATGTATGACAGCGATAACTTACAAGTCAGAAATGGAAGTTTACCTCCTTTTGTCGTCTTATGAGAGGAAAAAAACTAAAGATATTTGGTTTTATTAGACACACATCTTGTACCACTTTAAACAGAGAAATTATGCTGTAAAAATTTTGTGCTTTTACTATTTACAATAACCAAGACATGGAAACAATCTAAATGTCCATTGACAGATGAATGGATAAAGAAGATGTGGGGTGTGTGTGTGTGTGTGTCTGTATGTATATATATATATATATATATATATATATATATATATATATAATGGAATATTACTTGGCCATAAAAAAGAATGAAATAATGCCATTTGCAGTAACATGGATGGACTTAGAGATTATCATATTAAGTGAAGTAAGTCAGACAGAGAAAGACTAATATCATATGATATCACTTATATGTGGAAACTAAAAAAATTTTAAAGACACAAATTTTATTTACAAACCAGAAATAGATTCACAGACATAGGAAACTGTGGTTACCAGAGGGGAAAGGTGGGAGGGATAGATTAGGAGTTTGGGATTAACATATACACATTACTATATATAAAATAGATAAACAATAAGGATAGTATAGCACAGGGAACTATATTCAATTTCTTCTAATGAGCTGTAATGGAAAAGAATCAGAAAATGTAGGTATATATATATATGTATGTATATACATAAATAAATCACTTTGTTGTACACATGAAACTAACATTGTGAATTGACTACATTCCAATTAAAAAAAATAAGAATTGTTTAATGTATGCTTTTAGAGGTTATAGAACATGTTCATAAGTTTACCAATCAGAAAACGCTGGTATAACAAAAAAAAAATTCAGTTACTTGCTTCTTGGATTTCACTACAGATTAAAGTTTTTAAGGGTTCAAAATTTAATAAATATGCAATTATAACTACTAAAAGCAATAAGGGAAACTTTTCAGTATGTAAAGAAAATAGGCTCTGTGTTGTTAGTGAGAGAAGGTATAAAGTATGAAGATATTTTTATTAAATGAAAAAAGAAAACGGGGGGAGGGTATAGCTCAGTGGTAGCGTGATAGTGTGCTTAGCATGCATGAGGTCCTGGGTTCAATCCCCAGTACCTCCATTAATCAATCAATCAATCAATCAACATGGATGAGCCTGGAGAATGTCATTCTAAGTGAAGTAACCCAGAAGGAGAAAGAAAAATACCATATCAGATTGCTCATATGTGGAATCTAAAAAACAAAAACAAAAATAAACAAACTAACTAACAAACAAAGCATAAATACAGGACAGAAATAGACTCATAGACATAGAATACAGACTTGTGGTTGCCAGCGGGGCGGAGGGTGGGAAGGGATAGACTGGGATTTCAAAATTGCAGAATAGATAAACAAGATTATACCGTATAGCACAGGGAATCACAGGGGAAAAAATGTGATAATGAGTGTGCATATGTCCATGTATGACTGAAAAACTGTGCTGAACACTAGAATTTGACACAACACTGTAAAATGATTATAAATCAATAAAAAATGTTTTTAAAAAATCAATTTAAAAGAAAAAAGGAAAATAATTTTGTCCTAGAGCTATTTATTTCTAGATGGGGAAAAAAAAATAAAGACAAACATATGGATACTGAAAGTTGAAGAAGGTTTGTGGGAAAGGAAACTGAAGAAAAGAGTTTTATGCATGCTCAGGACTGATAAAGATTCAATTGAACTTAATTTAAAAAATGAATTTTGTTATTAAAAGTAAACTAATACAAGACTGGAGTTTGGTTTTTCTTGCCCTGTTAAGAGATCAAAGTTTTCCTGGAATATTGAGCTGCTTTTGATAACAGATTATAAATTTCTTTCTCTAGCTAACTCTGAGTTTTCCAAAGGGCCCCTGAGGCATCTCAGAAAGAAATAAAAAGCTAATTAAGACTATTTGGTTTATTAAGCTACATGGGAAACATTATATGAAAAAATTTCTCTAGTAAAGTTGTCACAGAGGCTAAGTACTCAGGACATGTATTGTTGCTGGCTTTAAGACTACTGCTTAAAGCACATGCGTACAATGTTTGTATGACAATTTGATGTAATTGAAAAAGATGTGTAACTGACCTATAAAATGTTTCCCTGAAACCGTATCTCTGTACTTGTTTGCTACGGCTGGTTAGTTTTCCCTCAACGTGGATAGCTAGGCAAACACATAAACAAAAAGGAAATCCAGCACGAAGGGACATGATGGATCCAGGGCAGGCAGCAACCACCACTTTTTAAAATGTTTTTGTTTTTGTTTTTTGAGGGGGAGGTAATTAGGTTTATTTATTTTTAGAGGAGGTACTACTGGGGATTGAACCCAGGACCTGATGCATGCTAAGCAAAAGCTCTACCACTGAGCTATAACTTACCCTCTAGGCAGCAACTACCACTGAGGGATAAATATTTTGATCATCAGTTCTTTCTACTGAAAGATTTACAATCAAAGGGGGAAATGATAGAAGAAAATTTTCACATATTAAGGTATGGGGGAAAACAGACTTTTTTCAAAAAGTTTATTCTGTACAGCACAGGGAACTATGTTCAATATCTTGTAATAACCCTTAATGAAAAAAATATAAAAATGAATACATGTACGTATATGCATGACTGGGACACTGTGCTGCACACCAGAAATCGACACATTGTAATTGACTGTACTTCAGTTAAAAAAAAAAGGTAATCTGGTTTACACGTGATTTA